AATCAAGAAGAAGACGCAGCGCGTCAAGAACCATGTTCAATATTATACAGACAGTAAGTTTCCATTATTTTACTAGTCATGGAATGGGAAACGTTACATTAACCTGTTAACAGCGTTTTCCTGTGTTGATATATTTAAATAAAGGGGTGATTCTTTTAATAAGTACCACGTTTTCTTTACTCGTCTAATTTTTGTATTTGTATTTGCAATTAAGTCATGGCCAATACATGTGCGTAGCACTTGATTTCTTCGTTCAAATCTATTACATGATTAAAACAAATCTAGAAAAACTGAGCGACCACATTGCTACTTTAAACTCTTAGAAAGTGCATTAACTGCATGACTTCATTGGTGCCGGCCACTATAGGTTAAAGAGATTAAAATACGGGTATGCAAGTTAACAGGTTAAAGTATCAGTTTTGATGTTAATATTTATTAATCATACTGTTGAACTTGACAGTATTTTCTCTCTTGTTATTTCATAGGGAGCTTCAAAGAAGACAAGTAAAGCCAGAGTCTCAGGTCAGCTGTGACCTGAGGAAGAAGAAGTGAAAATGCATGTGCCCTGTGTTTACTAAATTAAAAAAAACCTAAATAAACAAAGTAAAAATTAATTTGGCTGATTCCCCAAGGTTTCTATAGATATCGCAATATATCGATATCGTGAATTCTTTTGGCCACAATAACCGTGGTGTGAAAAATCAAATATCGTGACAGCCCTTTTATATATATATATATATATATACACAGTACATACACACACACACTGAAACCAGATCACACTAGCCATATAAAACAATGTTTTTGCTTTTTATCTTTTTTTTTTATCATGCAGCAGGCATAAGTTGAATGTCACTTAGAAAAAATAATATCTCCTTAATATCTCTTTTCTCCTTAAAGCCACACAATTTGATTCATGCCTGTAGCAAAAACATTGTGGAACGAGATACACACTAAAGGTTAATACTTAGTTCTAGGGATTTGAACAAAATCCTAGCATTAATTATAAGCTATAAAAAAAGTGTGAAGTGTTCACAAACACACAGTTTTGAAAGGATCTAAATGTTCCGTAAAGCTCTGACAATTGTGCTCTTGTAATTCCAGTCCATTGGAGAGCCGGTCGTGCACTCACACTGGATCTAAGTGGCCAGCCATTTCAGCAGCAGCTACACTTCTCATTTTTCTCTGCTGGAATCCCAAGTGTTTACATCAAATTTACAGTTATTTTTTCCCTCCTGTGCAACCAGAGAGGCACCAAAAATAAGGGGAGACTGTGCAAAAAGGAAACAAAACCCAGAGAAAAAGTGGTCTTGAAGGGGATAGAGTTCATTTTAGATTAAAACTAGACAAGTGTGAGATTCAAAACATGTCTTTTTAGCTCACTCATTTTTAGCCAGCGCTCAGCAAGCGGTAAACGTGCTTCCCAGAGGTACTGCTGCCAAAAGTCTATCATTCATTAGGCTGCCACCATCATCACATGCATGCCAGACACTTAATCACTAAGATAGAGATAAAATAAAAAGCTTGAAGGTCACCAGGGGGAGAGAGCGATAGAGGGGAGATAGCATAGAGGGGTGAAGACCCTGGCCTCATTTTGATTGAGGACGTGACGCTTTCAGTCACACGCGACAGAACACCCGATGAGGAGATGCGTTTTGACTGGAGACCTTTATCACAGACTCCAACGGTTTGCCGAGCTACACATCACAAGGAAACGGCCCTGGAGAATTCAGCCGCAAATCGCAAGCGAAAACATTTAATAGGACTATCTGAGTCTACCCTCTTCCGTATTCACTTTACGCTCTAGTAGGCGCGTGACAGTAGAGCGTTGAGTGAAACTCTGAATCTGAACCATCATGCATATTTCCCATTCTTTCCCATCAGGTGTTTTTTTGCCTGTCTACTCCTCTGATGTTTTGACATATTTCTCTGCCTCGTCGAGCGCTCGTCTCCGATTTGCCGTGCTGTTTAATGTTCATGAGGGGCGGCGCAAAACTCGGTCCGTTGACAACCCACTGGCTGTTGTTACAAGATCTCAGACAGACAAAAAAGACGAGGTGCACCGCTGAGGAGCCCCACACTCCACTGCCTCAAAATAAAAAGCGCCTTGACCTCCTCGGCAGCCAGCTTCACCTCTCAACTGTGACGGATGGACGGCGCCCTAGTCTCGTCCCGCGGCCCAGCGTGCTTGAATAATGCCAGCTCTCTGCACGCCCCGGGCCAACAGTCACCCACCATACTGGGAAACTTCTGATGCTTAATCTCCTGAAATGCAAATGTGCCAAATGAGAGATTGAGTCTGCCATGCTACGAGTGTAAACGGACACGGTTAAACCCTCCTCTAAGACCGGCTCAGACTGCACCGACAACCAAATCTGAACTATAATAGTCACTTTCCGGGCAGGAATTTGTATGGCATTTGAATTTGAAAGGGTGTACGGTGGGGCATACAGTTTTGCTCGAGGATATTGGATCTTTCAAGAGGCTTTGTTCGCATGCCGTGATGACAACGGCGGCGTGCACCAACCGAGGAGAAATTGTCAAGGCAACATGTATCGAATTTCACAAAAGTTCAGAGCAAAGCGATTTCCCTCCCCTCTCCAAACCTCCTGCCGAAGACGAAACAAGCAATCCACGACACATCCTCTTACTTTAAAGAATACAAGCGGCGGACACATTTCCTGCCAACAGGCCCTTTCCTCAGATAACACAAGACTCCCATCAACAGGAAGCCCTTTCACCGGCAGCTCTGCCTCCCTTCGGCACATCACACGAAACAGCTCCTCAACCCCAGCCCCCACAGCCTCCCCTCCAACTGTTGAGGAAAACTTGCAGAAGAAGCTTGCTAAAAACTGTTTGCAAGGAACCGGACTTAAAAGTGTGGGCTGTAGCCTCGAGTCCTTCAAATGCTCTTGGTCTGAGACGCAGCGTTTTAACAGCCTCAACAATACTCCTGAAATCAATTAACGTGCAGCCAGTGGTATCAACATTACACACAGCCTGTCATTACATCAGATCCCACAAATACCTCTGGCCAGACGGACGGACATCGTTACGGTCTGTGTAAACCACGGGAAAGGGTGCACACAAAAGCACAAACATGCCCTCTAGGCACGGGTCAATGCTTTAGATTTGTTAAAAGCCTCCAGTTCTGGTGCGCTCACCAGAAGTTTACACGAGTGAGTGCATGAGCACGGTAACGACGTATAAAGGATTTGAGGAAAGTTTGTAAAAAGCAAAGCAGAACTCACGTGCATTTGAAGAGCGGTGAGAGAAGGCAACCTTCATAAGGTAAGTGCTGTACTGTTTTAGCAGCTGCTAATAGGAGAACTGGCAGAAGAGAGAGAGAAAGTGAGAGTGAGAGTGAGAGTGAGAGAGAGAGAGAGAGAGAGAGAGAGAGAGAGCAGACGCTTTCTGCAGGCTGCTGTGATGACATGCAGGCTTTTTTCCTTTTTTTTAGTAAGGGGGCTTATCTTTGTCTCTATGGTAACTGTGTCTCTGGGTGGTTATTAGAAACCCTGAACTTCCTGTGCATCTGCAGGATCAGCCAATCACGCGCCGTGTTTTCATAGGCGGAGATAGCTCGTGCTATAGGCAGTGAAGAGCGGCCACATGAGGGGGCCATGGAAACAGAGGGTCAGGGAAAACTTACAGCACGGCACGACAGGCCGGTTTGCATAAAACAGCCCAAAACTGTCTTCACTGCACTCTACATATTTATAGAAACATCTAGTGACTAAAGTAGGTTATAAATCCTAGAGCTAATTTTTTTTCCAGCAAAACAGCCTCCACGCCACAAGCTTTTTCCAAATAGGACAATGCCATCAAGGTATTTCAGTATTTTTTAGGACGAAAATGGAAACTCTTGCGGAACACACAAGCTCAGCATCTCGGATTCCCAGAAAGAAATTGTTATAGCACTGTGGTAAAGAGACTTGCAGACAGACAACCACAGAAAGCTCAGAGCTCAGCAGAACGGCCAGAGTTACCAGAGTCCAGCTCTAATGACAATAAATCCACAGGATGTGCTGTGTACCAACACACTCATGCGGTTCGTTTTAACAGCAGACTGTGGATGAGCCGAACTTAATGCTCATGAATCCAAATGAACAGAGAGCATGCAGGATTACAGTTGCAAGGCAAAAAGCTGACATGGAGCATGCATCTAGGACAGGACTTTCAGCTGTTGTGCACAGAAAAGACAGCTGAACTGGAGAACTGCAACTTAAAACTATCAGATTACAATGAGAAAGCTTCGTTTTCCCAGCGGAAACTAGAAATGAACCAACAGTAAAAAGTAATATATGCCTGTTTATCCTTGCAGACAGGAATGGGAACACATTTTTGTGTGTTTATAGGAAGAACGCTACACACACACACACACACAAGCGCTCACTGCATAGTTTCCCAGTAGTCTCTCTGTCTCCTCGGTTTAAGCGGGTGGAATCGTTTGGAGCAATGTGGCTCACTTCTTCCCTGCGCTGACTTGTTTTCCACCCAGCGAGCACATTCAAACTTCACTCGTGGCTGCTTTATTTAACACCGCATTTGTTGACAAGTCTCGGAGCAAAGTTCCACACGCAGAACCCTGGGTGCTGAACTTGAGAACATCAAATACAAACAATGCCGACCAGAACAGAGTGCCCTACCCCCTGAGGGCGAGATGTTGCTTCATCGGCACTGAGAAAAACATCAACCGGTCTACTAGGACAGCGAGGGAATGACCCCCGAGGCACGCTCAGCGAGAGACGGTCTAGACCTCTTCCAGCACTGTTTACAGCTGCAGCGACTTCCATTACTCAGTGTCAGGAGCGTGCCCTCTTTCTTGTCTCTGCTGTCACAATATTTCATCCGGCGTAAGTAGCACATGTCCCACACGTAACTAGACTCACCAGCCAGGAGCTCCCAGCGGCGTCTATATGCCCGCAAACGCTCTTACACTCCTGACAAAACAGAAAGCCCTGATAGATTACAGCAAGAATGATCAATCACACACAAACCTTTTAATCCAGATCGTCCCCTGATTGGCTGCCTCCACATGAGCTCCAGAGTTTTAAATCCGACTGGTTAATCCCTCCATTTCTCTCAGATTCAGTATTTCAGCAGTGACCACAGTGGACTCTAACATTCACTTGGCTTTTTTCTCTCCCTCCCTCGTTCTCTCTCTCTCTTTGCACTCTGTTCCGAGACCGCTCACTGAGCTCTGGAACTAAGGGAGCCTGATGAGGAGGGAAGAGACTCGCTGGGTCCTAGTGTCTCTGGTGTTAACTGAAAGAATGCCATTGTTTTATGTGTAACCCAGGGCTACATTCTACAGACGGCTGATAAGTCCTGCGCTGTGCCAGATCCACTGCTGGGGTATTTGTAGATGGATAGAGATGGAGAGCTGTTCGATATCCATTACCTGGAAAACAATATAATAGTTGAAAGATAATTTACAAACTGACCTAACTGAAAAAATAAATATATATATATATAATTTTCTTACTCAGTATGCTTGTGTTGTCTGCAGTATAAATATCTAAACATACTTGAAAAATATCTTAAAGTGAATGTATCTTGTTTTAAGCTTTTATTTTTGTGCAAAATGACATAAGATATCAAATCCTGTTTTAGAGGTTTTGGTAATAAAATCCAAAACAAAATAGTGTTCCATCCAAATTAGTTTTTTTTTCTTTATTTGTCTTACTCCATTGTCAATTAGATTTCTCTAAAAAAAAGACTTAATATTTTTTTTGTTTTTTCAAGTAAATATATCTTGTTTTATCGATCATGAGATGTTTTTACTGTATATGATATTGAGTTTTTTTTTTGTTTTGTTTTTATCTAGAGGTCATGGAAACGCTGATATAAGACTGATCTCCTTTTAGCATTTTCCCTGTTTGCTCAACTTTATTAGAATATTTACTGCTGCTTTGCATACTTGCAACTTGTGTGCTACATTCCTAGTCTCCTGAAGAAATACAGTACGATAGCTGAAAGTGGTTATTCACTGATATGATTTCAGATAAAATCTGTCTTCATTGTAAGATCTAAAATGTAATCTGCAGGTTTAACATCAGTGATATCATGTGACTAATTGCAATGCAGCAAGATCAAATAGAGGCAACAGAAAATACTGTATGGTTTGATAGCTACTGCATAGCTTTAGTAAAAGAATGGTGCACAGGTCATATTAACTGGTTTTATATTTCATGGTGCTTTTTGGAGACTGACAGTACAAATCTACTGATGTGTAAGGAAAAGAGCATCTTGAATATTCTACCTAACATCTGTTACACATGAAGATGAGCTGATGAGAATTTTTATTTGAAATAGTCCTTTAAAGGGTTAATATCTGACCATGTACTGAGACTTTTCAAATAAATTGCTTAAGTATGTCATAACGAAATCCCTCCATGGCATCAGCAGCATCCAAGTACACAAATCATTACCATTACCAAAACAAATTATTCCAAAAGGTCAAAACCCCTACTTTTATCTCCTTTTCTATCCTTAGAAAACATACTGAAAACAAAAGCCTCATTTTAGCTCTACCCTTCAAAACATACTAATATTTAAACCCCAAACCCCCACTCTGAAGTGTTTGCTATTGCAAATGTGGTAGCAATGCTAAAACTATTATGTGCATGGACACTACAGCCAGGGCTATAAATATAAGCAACACATGGAGCGGCAGACTGCAAAACAGGGGGAAATTTGGGCTGCTTGTATCTGTCAAGAGCTGCACGAATCAGGCCGCCGGCCATATGATCAGCCTGGGGGCTGAGTCCACCTCCTCAGCAGGGAGCTTTGTAACTGCGCTTCTCGTTTCTTTTTCAAAAAACAGATTGAGAGAGAGGGGGGGTTTGTAAAATACCCTGGATGCTTATGTGAAGAATGCCTCGTGAGGATCATAAAGTGTCTCAAATGAAACTTGGCCCTTATCTAAATAACAGTTGACTAATATGCTCACAATGTAAACTCAGTGGCTTACCGCAAATCTTGGGGGCTCCCCGTGAACCATGAGATGGGGCCCTGGACACAAGTGCATACATCATGCAGTGTTCCTTTTCGGGGGGTGAAACAGCATCTGATGGACACAGACAGACACAGACACTCTCAAATCCTTACTTATCTATTTATATGCAGATACAGTGGGTACGGAAAGTATTCAGACCCCCTTAAATTTTTCACTCTTTGTTATATTGCTGCCATTTGCTAAAAATTTAAGGGGGTCTGAATACTTTCCGTACCCACTGTATATCTTTCTAGATTTAGTTTCAGCCAGTAGAGTATGCAAATTCTAACCAGTTAGTAAACAATTACAAGCATGATACATTGTTTTCCACGATTGTGATTTCTTTGTAAACACATTTGTGTTGAATTTGCACAGCATTAAAAAGCCAAGCAACACAATATAGTACCTGCTTTCATGCAACATGTACACAGAGTAAATTTGCTCTGTATCTGCAGTTTAACCCTAATATAATTGGCTCATAATGGCTTGAGGGTCCATTGTTTGACAGTGTGTATATATGGCTGAATTGTGAGCACATCTTTACTATAACAAAAATTGTGTAAAGGGAAACAAATGCCTGTGTCCTTGACTGATGTGTAAAAAAACAGAGCTATTGGCTTTTATGTTATGTGAATGAAGCCAGACTTGTGAGCACGAGAGCTTTCCAAAACTGTACATTTTCAGATCAAGCAGTTAATCATGTTCAATAACGTTTCAGTAACAGAAACCGACTGAGCTGCCAAATGCTCTGGCCTCTGAACGTCTGGCAAAACGATCCAGCTTTTGCAGCAGCTGTAGGATGGAATTCTGTTTGTGTTTCCCAGTTCAAGTGCCACTAAACATATAAAAAATAATAGCGCATCTCAGTATAAGGCAAAATCTGTATGAGTAGGTTGCATATATGCAATGTAGCAAGAAGTGATTTACATAATTTTTTAAATATTAACATATATAAATGACTCTCATGATGCCATAATAAATTAAAAAACTTATCATGAGAGCAAATGCACATTAGAATTTTGCCTTATTAAACAAATGTATACAGTATGATTGGATGAACAACGATATAACACACCTGTGATTGCACATCAATTGAATTCTATATTAATGTGCACTCATTTATGATCATTATGTTGCTTGGCAACCATAAACAGCCAGCAGTTGAGCTAATGAATTATATTACTTAGCAGGAGAATTGTTTATGATCATTAACAAATGTAATTATTTATTGAACATAAGTGTCTGCTATCATATTGATGTTGCCATTTAATAAAAACAGTTAAGCCACTTGAGGATATTACAATGATTTTTCCATATCACATTTCCCATCACCCTATGTTAAAATCAGTGGCTTACTGTTTAATAAATGTAAATTGTACAGAGAAGTGCTCCATAAGCACACTAGTAAACTATGAGAGAATAAACAAAGTGGGAATAAAAAAATGATAATGTCGATGACACTGTTGTTGATACAGAAATTAATTAGTGTCCATACCTTTACTATATCACAATCTTTTTCGCTGTACTCATTAAAATGATTTACATACAGCAGTCATAAGAATAACACAATTAATGTTCCTCTCAGTTAATTACTCCACCTTCCTCTGTCACATCTTCGAATGCATTTGAAAAAACACAAAGCCCAGATGAATGTCTTCATCATATAATATTTTGCCCAAGGCACTTAAGTGAATTAATGTAGCATAATTCCTGAGCAAAGTGCTTGCTTGGTGCAGTCAAAGGATTAGAAATATGCATTTTTCAAATGATATTTCAGGCAACACTTACTGAGAATAAAATATGAATATGTCTCTGAACTAAGCAGAACCCTGGTAAACAGTCACGTTGTTGCCTACAACCAAGAAGTGATTTCTGTGTGGTTTCATATTCTATTGCGAAACCTGTTCAGTGAATCAGAGTGAACCATTTGCATACTGTACGATTACAAGCAGAACATTTAATTTGGTGGAAAAACGCTTGAAATTATCTCTGTGTTTGATATAAGAGTTTGATCAATATCAGTAGGGTGAATCTTACAAAACCTGTCAACACCAACATCAAAACAAAGAAAGAAGAAATCAAGAAATCTTTCTTTTGTAAGAAAATGAAACCTATTTTAGAATGAAATTATTTTAAATCTTGCACATTTCCCGCCATTCTCATTGCCATGCAAAAACAAACCAATAAAACAAAAACTAATTCTCCGATTTTTTTTTTAGTATTTAACACAATTAAATTATAAAAAATAACACTCTCATTAGTGCAATTTGAAAATATATTTCTATAGTGCTTTCAGATAACATTTTTTTCCAGTCTTTATTAGCATAAATTAGTGTTTAGAATTTACTAATTACAAATAGTTAATTATTAAAATGAAAGTCTACTGACAGTATGAATTAAAAAAAATCCAGATGCATTTATAGGGATGAGAATTTGGGGTAAATGTCCAATGTTTCATAATGAATGAATGACTAAACAACAAAACAATTAACAAACATTATTGATTTTGGGGTGAAATTTGACCTGGGCAGAGTTTCACCCAGTAATACCTCCTATTGAGTTTAAAACTCAAATAAAAAATAATCAACAGATCTTTAAAACACACCTCTCATCTCACTGTTCTGTCATTCCAAATGAACCACAGTCAGAAACAGCTGTTTCTGCAAAGAGTAATAAAAAACAATCCTTGCTAAATGCTGCATTCATCCTGTATTATTTATGCTGCATTATCTGAGTCAAACCTACCTGAGCAAAAATGACCTGTACACAAGAGATGCAAGAAATGGAACAGTGCTCTTGCATGAGTATGAATATGATCCAGGCACGTAATAGGATATAATGCAAACCATACTACTTAAACCACTCAACCGATTCCCGCCGACAAAACTCAATAAACATTGTTTACACAGCAGAGGTGGATCTGCGCACATCTTTAACTACTGTGCTGTTTTCTCTGCGCATGGTAGCAGAAAATAACTCAAGAGAGCGCGTATAAGAGTTGCCCCCCCATAATTGAAATAAGTGGTGAAATCCGTTAGCTTCGAATCCTCCTAGTGCGATTCAGGGATGGGCAACTAGTCTCACACTATGAGCTGAAATGTTCCTTCACGGGGATGCAGCATCAACTCATATCTATAATGTGACACAAGGGACAATAACCATTATTATAATCTA